AAATAAAATAAATAAAAATCAGATATTTAAAAAAGAATTCCATTATTTTTAAGAAAGGAGCCCTGGTCGGATAGCTCAGTAGGTTAGAGCCTCACCCTGATACACCAAGGTTGGGGGTTCAATCCCTGATCAGGGCACGTACAGGAATCAACCTATGAGTGCATAAATAAGTGGAACAACAAATCGATGTTTCTCTCTCCCCCTCCCTCCCTTCCTCTTATCTAAAGTCACTTTAAAAAATTATTTTAAACAAGACAAGCCATTATAGAATATAGGCATACCTCATCTTATTGTGATGCACAGATATTGCATTTTTTTACAAATTGAAGGTAAGACCCTCCACCAGCAAAAACCTTACAGCTCGCAAAGGCTCAGATGATGGTTAACATTTTTTTGCAATAAAGCATTTTTAAATGAAGACGTACATTTTTTCAGACAGAATGTTATTGCACACGTAATGTTCTACAGTATGCACCTGGAAACCAAAAATTGTGTGGCTTGCTTTATGGCGGCAATGCCCGCTTTATGGCGATGCCCGCCTTATTGCGGCACCTGCTTTACGACATTGTCCGCCTCATTGAGATACGCAACTGCGGCGCCTGCTTTAGGGCGATGCCCGCCTTATTGCGATGTCTCTTTAAGGCAATGTCCGCTTTATTTCTGTGCCTGTTTTAGGGCGATGCCCGCCTTATTGCGACATCTGCTTTACGGCCTTGTCCGCCTCATTGCGGTATCTGCTTTACGGCCTTGTCCGCCTCATTGCGGTACGGCAACTGCGGCGCCTGCTTTAGGGTGATGCCCGCCTTATTGCGGTGTCTCTAAGGCAATATCCGCTTTATTGCTGTGCCTGTTTTAGGGCGATGCCCACTTTATTGCAGTCAGTGGTGTGGAGTGGAGCCCGGGGTCGCCAGCGCATGCCTGTCTTAGGACCGGTCTGAGGGTTAAGGAGGGAATGTCCGCCTGGCTTTAGAACCCTGGGATGGACTGTGCCCTGGCGCCAGGCATTCTGGTCTTCGGGTTGACTCCGAGAATTTTGAGTAGAATGTCGGGGTACCTCTGAGAGTCCTGGGTGGAAGGAGGTGACGGAGAATCCTGGGCCGGGAACAGAGCACACACAGGCCACCGGGCAGGCCGAGGCTCCTTGGTCCGTTGAAGAAAGCCAGACTCCCGGTTGTCTCTCGGTCGACAGCCCTGGGGGAAACTGAGGCCTCGGGCAACCTGGAGAACCTGAGAACTGGGCGGTGGTTTTGGGGTGTGCGGGTCCAGAGGGGTGTCCCACTGACCCCTCCCCCTCCCCCCCACAGGACGCCCTGCACACGTTCCCGCAGCTGCAGGTGGAGCAGAGCGGGGATTTTCGTCTGCCCAGGAGTTCAAGGTGGAGCTGGACAAGTCGGGGTACTACACGCTCTACCACTCACTGCACCACTACAAGTACCACACCTTCCTGCGCTGCCGGGACCAGGTGAGTGCCCCCAGCGCCCTGGGGGTCCACCCCTATTGGGCTCTGCCATGGATACAGGAGCCTGGCCCCTAGCCCCTCCTCCCTCATACCCAGGAGTCCAGGCCCCCAGCCCCTCCTCCCTCAGACCCAGGGGTCCAGGCCCCCAGCCCCTCCTCCCTCAGACCCAGGGGTCCAGGCCCCCAGCCCCTCCTCCCTCAGACCCAGGAGCCCAGCCACCAGCTCCCTTCT